GCCAGAATAATTTTTTTTTTTTGAAATAAACAAGCCAGAATAATTACAAAAATCATTGTCTTTTTTTTCGGACCTTTTGTGATAATTTGTTCAATTATAATACGCTTATTTATTTTCATCGATATAGAATATATACACACTTGTATATCTAACTTGTTAAAAGACAAACACAATGCATTATCATATAACCATTTTTGTGGATGAATTTCTTTTTTTTGGGTTTAAATGTTAAGGATTGGATGAATATTTACTAGAGACGAAGACTTATAATCTAATAATTTCAGTTAATTTATATATCATGATCGTGTTGCCAAATCTGACATACAATTCTTATCGAAGTTCATTGATCAATAAAGGTCATCATTCCGTAGTACTGTTTTCTATTCGATCCAGTTAAATTTGGCACAAACACAAATGCATGTTATTGATAAAAAAAATCCTACATAACGTTCTACTCCTAAAATAATTAGGATGGACCGACGACAGACGGGCCTAGTCCAACAAGGATTAGGGTTTACAAAACCTATATATACGAGAGTCCCAACGCAAGGACGAGATCCTCACAACACACGCAAAAAACCCTAAATAGCTAAACTCTTACCGTCTTTCAACGACGAGCGACATGAATTATGGCAGTGCTTTACCACCAGCGACACAAACGCACGTAGTGCTCAACGATGGGCGACGCGAACTCCCGCAGTGCTCAACTACGAGAGACAGGAATTCTATTTGTGTTACGACCAGATCCATCTATTTGCGATTTTTTATTGATTCTTTGTAATTCTTATCGAAACTCATTGATCAGTAAAGATCGTCATTCTGTAGTATTGTTTTCTATTCGATCCGGTTAAATTTTGAACAAACACAAATGCATGTTATTGATAAAAAAAAAGTAACACATTTTACGTAATAAAATTAACATTGTTACAAAAAACAAAAACAAAAACAAAATAGTCTGAAATTATCTAGCTGCTAGGAGAAAAACTTAACTTAACCATGCAGACCAATATAGGCTACATTAAACTTGATTATGTTCCGAATACATTTTTTTTAAAAATATTTTTTGCCTATATTATCCTTAAACAAATATAAATAATTAAAAATAAATGGTTTTTAATTTTTTTTGTTAAAATAAGAAAATTACAAAAACGTAAATAATAATCATTACTATATATCGAAATATTGTTTTAGTTAAAAAATGTTGAAAAAATAATTGAATCGAACCAAATCAAACCCAACAAATTTTTGGATAATTATAAATATTGCAGGCTCTATTTTTTTTTAATATTAAAAACCTTAAAAAAATCGAACCCATAAATGTTATTTGGTATTAACGAATTTCGAGTATATATATGAACCCAGTCTGAATTCGGAAGGAATAAAAAAAAAATCTGACCCAAAATTTACAAAAACTCCAATGAGATTTATACTCTAATCCGAACGGAGTCGAAAGGCTTAGATCTAAATTAATTGATGAAGAAATTAGTTTGTGTAAAAAATAAAATACTAAAGAGAAAAAAACATATATCCAAACATGTTTTTTTTTTGTCGGCCAACTTGTTATATCCAAACATGTTAAAGATTTAGATAGTGATTTCCGAGAAATGTGAACAAACAAAAAAACATTTGGTTAACCATTACTAAAAAATGTTTTTAGGTTTACTTCAATTTTCTGACTAGCGTTTAAGTCCTTGACCACGCTACGACGCCGTATCAAGAAGAGTAAAGTCATCGCCTTCTACGAAAGATAAAAAGAAGAGTAAACCCTTTTACTTGTGGAAACGCAACACTTTCTCCGATTCGCTGAGCTCATATGTTTTTCTAATCTCTCTAAGTTATGTGTTCATCATTTCGTTTTTCCTCAGAAGGTTTTACAGATCTAAATCGCAGAAGAAGAAGAAGGTGTTTCACACTAGGTATCGTTTCTTGTGTATAAACCCTAATGTATCTTCTTATGTTTCTAGGTTTACTTCAAATTTCTTATATTTTCTTTGTTTTAATCGATTGTTTTGCTTATTGTGATTCCCGATTTTGTTGTGTTTGCAAGGATTGAGTATGATTTCTCGCTTTTTTTGTTTTCCCTCAAATTATGTGACGGTGAGAATTGGCCCATGTCTTGCCATTCTGTGACGGTGAGAATTTCTCAATACTCACCACTACTAATCCGGTGGATGTAATAAAAATAACATTTGATGCAATAGATGAACTAGATTTCATCATGCGTTCCATCGTAGCTAAGTGGAGGAGGCTTAACTATAGATCCCTACGTGAGTTTGATACAAACACTTCCATCAACTTAGAATGTCTCTTCGGAGACTATAGAAAAGATAGAGATATCCCTAAACAAGTAGTCGACAAGTACATTAAAGCACGCATCTGTAAACTATGGGAAATGATGAAGCATTCCTTGCATGGTGGACCAGTACCGTTTTATCGTGTTGTATTGCTCATGGCAGTTGATAAAGGGTATACCCACGTTCTGGAACGTCTCAGGGAATTGGGATTCATGGTGTTGGTAATCTATCCGCGCCATTCCTCGAGCGCCTCTTGTGTCTACGCACCGCATCTTTGCGATGTCTTTGACAAGTTATTCTACGAGAATCGATTTTAATGGACCCTACCTTGGAACCAACCTTTACACATTTTTGGAAGAGGCTCTACGCCTTACCGGTTGCGACAAGGCGGAGGACGTGGTGGTAGCAGTTTTGACTATCCTCTCTATTTCCGTTTTATAGTTTGTTTGTCCTTCACTCCTCAATATAATTTTTATTTTGTTTAGCAAGTAATTACTAACTTACCTATTTGAGGAATATTACAAATTGGCTAATATCGAAGTAACTACACTATCACTCTTTTTTTTTTACATTACAATACTGTCACTTTATTACATATCAATATTTTATTACGCATATCTTCTTTCTCTTTCACACGGACTTGCATTGAAGTGTGTTACGTAAAATCTGTTTTTTGAACAATTCACATCAACAACAATAACAATAAAAATGCACAATTCTGGCACTAAATGGTAACCGATTAGTTTGAAGAATATGAAAAATTTGAAGAATAACTTTATTTTTGTTACTATTTGGTTAATTTGAAGAATTTGCATAATTCCACAAACTCCACGTTTCAGATATCCAGTCCTTAAAGTGTGGGGGTGTTAAAGTCCCACTTAGGACTTAGATTTTTGGGTAATATATAAGTGTGTGGCAATCTTTCTCCTTTGAGCTAGCTTTTGGGAGTGAGTTAGGCCCATTACTAATAAATGAGTAAATAATTTTGTAAAAGTGACATTTTTTTAATTTTTTTGAAAATATGGTATTTTTGAAAAGTGGCATTTATCAAAATTTATTTTAATAAAACCATTCAACAACGTAGT